GAGGTTGCAATATCATTAATGATGATGACGATGTTCTTTTTGTTGCTGATGACGATGATGACGATGATGATGATAGTGATGATGAAGACGCTAAAAATGACAATGATGCTAATGTTGATAAAGTTAACAGTGATGGAGGTGATGTTGAAGACAACGACGTTAACGTAGATGTCTTCAAGATTATGCTGTCATTTGATGCTATCTTAATCAGAGCTGTTGCAGACTGTAAGGTAAGATCAGTTGACGATGGATCTTCTAAAAACTTCTCTGTAGTAGATGAATATATTCCAACCTGCCGAAGACTTGTAGTGGATGCACGAACATGGAAATTCTGTCCTGGACTGATATTGGTAGATGTAGCTGAATCACCCAGGTTTGTTTTGAAAACAGCTCTCGATTTTGCAATGGAACCTTTGTTGTCAACTTTATCCGTAGTTGATGATGAAGATGTAACAGTTGATGAAGCAGATGAGAGCTTATCAGGTCGGTCGGTGGTAGAAGAGAGAACGGAAAATGAGACAACTGACGGTTGTTCTCTAGAAGGCAATAGCTCTTGAATGAAGGACGGTTTACGTTCTGTTTCAGTTAGAGTCGTACCTGCTGTACTAGGAACCAATGAATCGTTATTCCAAGCTGAGATTCCTAGTGAGGAATAATGTTCAATGAAAACTAAATATCGCAGTTTTAATGTATATAAAAAAATGGATTGTACACGATCAACAGTGAAGTGAAAGATTGGTCGTAAATCTTTACCATCCAAACATACCAGTCCAAGGGTAGTATTTTGCAAGATCTGAGCTAACAATTCTGCCCGCGCGTATTTTTAACTTGGCACAGAGTAGTCTTCGTAACCTTTATTACTCTCCTTTGTGAAATTAAAAATGGCTTAATCGATCTAGAAGTTATTTATCCCGGTAGGTTTTGCAGACTTAGTGAACAAATCATAGTATTATTAAAACACCATACCGTATAGGGCTAAACTTAAAATATACCTGACGAGGTGTACGGTCTATACGGCTAAATAGTTCATTACTTTTCCCTTGAAACCCAACTGATTTAAACCAGCAGGGTCTCATTAAGCCTCATAAGACCCAAAAACACGATCTTTGGCTCTATCGAGAGAGGTTTTCATTACATCTTGTGGTAGTAATTACTATTCAAGTGGCCGATGCTTAGTCTCAATCAAAGCTTATATGCTTCTGATTTCGTATACGAACGTATATTCCAATTGTAAAGAGCCCCTGCGCGCGATGACGGTCGAGGTTTGTATTCATTCCGAACCAAGCAAGGTATAACTTAAGGTTTTGGTTTATCTTTTTGTTCGAGTAAGTTTTCAATGCCGATAGACTAATGCTTTTATTCTGATTTTTTTTTTTTTTCATGCATGATCGATATTTTCAGTCTGGTTCAATACACGGATACACGTCACCATGCAATGTGGTCAATATGTTCCTGTGATTTTCCGCTGATATCTTGGAGTTTATGAAGTACTGAAAATTCCACTTTTCTCTTACATGCTAAATCGCATTACACCCTGCCGCTTTCGACAGGTATTCGATGGAACTGTTAACCATGACTACAGTCGCTAACACCGCTGAGAAATACACTTTAGATAGGATTTCGGTCATTGTGAGTGATATACACATTGCGCAACTTATCACTGCAGAGGTCAGAACTAGCTAGCTCACGATCACTAAGAAACGGGCTCACTAGATGGAATTAAAATCATGTATTACCTAACAGAGGACTGTAAGAAATGCTTCGATCGCTTATATTACCCGATTGACGAGGTAACATCGTAATGAACTCTACAATAATATATATATTTTTAAAACTAGATTGAAGTAAAACTCACTACTTATTAATACGATCATAAATGGGTCGAGTTGATCGGGCGCTCGCGCGACTGTCCCTTGCAAGTCTTACAAAATTTCTGTCTTATTTGTGTCAGTTCCAAATTAATAGAATATCGAACTTTTTCTCGCTTCGATCTGATATAATTGCTCTTGTTACGGTGTCCCAGACATTTACTGTACAGCTCATTAGTGAAACTAGTTATTCAGTTTAAGTTGCAAGTTATAGCCCTACTGACTTCTTGCATAACTCTAGTCACTGAAATGATACATATGTCCTACCTCTAAAAAAGACCGATAACACCATTGTAATACTCCAAAGCGACCAGGTGAATCTACCCATTTTCGGGGAAAGAGTTTGATTGCTCTTGATCCACCCAAGGAGTTAGCTTGCAGTTCACGAAAGTTCTCTACCCTTTAGCTTAGGTTTTACAGACAGAACTCAACTGAGATGCTTTAAACTTTCTCACGAGACCTTAACCCCCTCAGGGTGTCTGAAACTCGTCCATTCCTCAGACACAGCGGGAATAATTGTATCATTGCAGACGAACTGATGAGCGGAACAACTTGAATAAACACTGATATACATATTATATGAAAATGCAATTATTGTTTCCCAAAAATAACGCTAGCATTAATCAATTTAATTAACTTAAACTGTCAAAACGATAAATAGCGTAGATAGAGTCCCTTTGTCATTGTCTGGAAGGGACCCATGTATCAGACACATGATAATTCAGTAGGATTCCTCTGACTACCAAAGAATCGAAAACCTACGAGGACTAACTGGAGTGAGAAATTCATTTTTGACCACTTTACAATTAATTCCTTCTTTCAGTCTAGCTTAGCATGTAACTTGACTTTTCTTAGCGGAGACGGTGAGCTTCAAAGTGTCTCCAACTGCGCTTTTTTAAAATGCCTTGTTCTCACTCCTCCAATATTTCAGTGAATACATCAGATGGTTTGATGAAAATTTTAAATTTTATTTTACGACGGCGAGGCTGAAAGTTCGTGGTCTCCTTCGTTCATGCATCGGTTGGTAAGCGGCGGCAATTTTAGGTCTTTTTTCAACCGTTACAAGTAATATTCTTATTATAATCAGTCACCAGACCAAACCAAGCTTGCACAAGAAATCGGGTTCATGCTTAGGTCAAGATCTTAAGCATCGCTAATGAACAAAAGGAGCTGATGTAAAAGCGATCTATTGTAGTAAACCAATAAAATTGTGTTTATTGCACGGATCTTAGTGGTGGTCTTAGCTATTGCTTAAAGTAGTCCTATGAGTTGGCCGTGCAACTGGAAAAATTGGATCATAGTTTGTAACATACGAAAAGTATACGGTTTTCAGAGACTGCAAATGATAGATTAGGGCCCTCAGTTTCATGGACTGTTAGTTTATACCAGGCGTTTGGTTAGCTGGGAGCAGCGAGAAAAACGACGAGAGAGAAGATTAGGGGAGTGTTTGGTGCTACTAGCACTCCTGTCGTCCTATTTTCTCTTTCGGCGTTTTTTCATTGTTCCCCAACTAACGTAGCCAGCAGGCTCTGGCTGGAAGGATCTGACCGCGGCTGGAAGGGCCGAGAAGGAACTGGCTGAGAGTGAAGTGGCCGAGGGGGAATGGGATGGAAACTGGGGTGTCCTGTCTCTTTCCCCCTCTTTCTACCCTCTTTCTCTTTGCCCCATCCTCGACTGAAGGGTCACTGAAGAACCTGTTCACAGGCTACAACTAACCCAACTCCTGAACCGAATGCCATTTCTCCTTCCAAGAAGTATGCCATTGTAAAAGAGGCATTCAAAGCATTCGCATAGAAAAGACTGATTGGCTTAATTGCACCCTGCTTTCTCGTATGAACTAGACAAAACGCTTTCTTTAGAAAACTTTCTTTAGCGCACAGGTCGCACAGCGCACAGACATGAATGATTGCTAACAGCTGTACTTCAAATGAATTCACTCTAATATTTATTCATCTAAAATTCAAAGAAAAAAAACACAAAATTTTGCCCCAAAATGATTGTTATTTCCCTCTATCAGTTGTCATGGTCGGTAGGCGGGGTCTTATGGAACGGGCCGGACGGGGGGGCTAATAGAGAGGAGAGCAAGTAAAGCCATACCACACTCTCTCAGAGACAGGGTGAGGTAAGATAGAAGAAATTTTGCTTCTATTCTCTCTGGGTATTCTCTGTCCAGGTATTCCCTCACCCTTTGACGATGGCCAACAAGTACAAAAGACAGAACCTTTTATGTTGCTACACATAAACGAGCCCACGATTCTCACTCTTCAGCAGATTGCCACACCATAACAAGTGCACGCAGTAGTTCACAAGCAAATCCGCTTGTCGGAAACCTGAGTCTGCAGGTTGTGTTTCCTTTCTTCCTGAACCTGTCTACAGGTTTTGTACCTCAAAAACTTCAGCCTTTCTCTCAGTTTAGATTTCAAAACCCCTATGTCAGTAAGAAAATAACAAAAGGTATGCCAAAAAGTAGAAGTCGGAGTCGCTCTCCTCATGGCAGAGGTAAGCTTTTGAAAATGTTGTCAATCCGTTCTGAACAAGTTAGATTTTGCTGATAATTTTAGCTTAGTAAAATATACTACTTTCACATGGTTCTTTGCCAGTTTTTACGGAACGAAGACGAAGTCGATCACGATCAAAAGAGAGGAGGAAAGATGGTGGTAGGCTGTGACAGGTTTTTTTCATGGCAGACACTTTCTAACTTTATTACATGTACCTGTTGAACATACTTGTACCATAATGATCTGTTTGTTATGGCTCATTTTTAGAACGCAGAAGAAGTAGATCAAGGTCACCAAAGCGACGAAGGCATCGATCTCTTTCAAGGTACAGTGTAAGCTTAAGCTTTAAAAACTTGAGGTATTTCAACTTGTCAGCTTGTCAGAGATTAAGAAGGTGGTATGTTTTGCTCAGAACACCATGCCTAAAATAAAAAGCCACTGTATTTTAAATATTGAAACCATTAAAAATGTTTCCTTTCTGCTGTTTCAGATCACCTTCCCCACGAAGGCACAGAAGGCAAGTTCTTATCCTGATAGGACGGTGTCTGTTTTAGGCCCCATTCCATGTTTGCACATATGAAAATTTTTTAGAAGTTGTATCCCAAAGTAGGTCACTGGCATGCCAGCTTATGACAAGGATTCCATTGACTGCATGACATTACACGCCAAAAACTGTAATCATGTAACAGTTCACCAAATGGTTTTGAAACCCAAACCAAAAGTCTTTGGTGTAACATATGTAAAATGCACCCTTAGCCTAATGGTTAATGAAGTGGCTTCTGGAACAAGAGGTCTTGGTTGAATCTGGCCAAGGTCTTTGTGTTCTGCAAAGACATCTTGCTCTAGAACACTCTTTAATTAGTTCTTTCCATTTAAAAGTTTGAATGAGCAGTAGTTCAAATGATCCAGGCAACAGGACAAAAACAATCTTGTGGAGTTTCCTGCACTGTGTGCAAAGAGAGTCAAAGTTGAGCTAGTGGATTCTATCCTTTGCTAACCCGATGGGGAATTGAAGAATGTCTGGGGAGAATTTTTTATGGAAATTCAAATTGAAGAAGGACTGCAAGAGATACAGTATTGTATGGCAATCTTGGAAATCACTTTTTTTCCTCAGGGGTATTTTGCAGTATGCTGAATGTCGAATGCCAAATGCACTGTTTGTTTGCATTTAGTTTTACTCTCGTTTGCCTGTGGTTAGCTTTTATTTGTCAGAGAGGACAACATTGTGTTGTATTTAGGCCTTTCCAACGAGTAAAAAAAGGTACCCAAAGGGTACATGTGTGGGATACCTCATTTGTATTGACGGACACAGTAGTGTGGGATTGCAAGCAAACATGAGTGCAACCAACCGCAGGCAAATTGTGCATTTGGTGTTTGGCATTCTGCATTTGACATTAAGATTTGACTTGCTGCAAAGTACCCCGTACTAAATAAGCATGTTATGTAGGAAAGTAGTACTAATTGTAGCTGCTTCATGCTTAAATCCAGGTACAAGCCCCAGCCAGCACTCAATTTTGAACTGATAAATTTATTACAGTGACAGTACATTGTTTCTAACTGCACTGTGTTTTTTCACTGGTTATAGAACACCATCCCCAAGGAGAAGGAGATCAAGGTGGGGACTGAGCATGTGAAGATACCACATTTAAAAAGTGATCAGTTGCTGACAAAGGGAAAATAAGCTGAAGCATTTCTGTTCTGACTCATATTATTATCCCCATAGCAGCAGGTTATTTGAGAGTGAAAACTTGACCAATTTAAGGAAATATCCGAAGAATTCTCATGACTCAATTGTACATGTATTAGAAAAAGATACAATTTGCTCCTGGCAATTAATTTTGGTCTCTCTTTGAGATTGCCTTTGATTTAAAAAGTACAGTAATTTTTGAAATTATGCAAAATGACTTAATGATGTTATAACATTAGTAATTGACTTCAATAATGTCATATAACATTACTGTTGTGGTCATCAAAATTTTATAACAGGTCATCATCACCTAGACGTTCTCGAAGATCACGCTCAAAGTGAGTGCGTCACAAAGCTATTGCTTTGAACTTGCAGCTGTAGCTGAAGCATTTTTTTTAGAATGTGACTAATTAGGTGTCTTTTATAAGCAAAACAATCATCATGCTAAATCATACAACTAGTGAGAAACAGAGCGTAGAAAAATATATGGTAGTTTTAAGATGAAATTGTTGCTGTTCAATTTGTGGCAACCAAATAATTAACTGAAAAATACACCTTGAGAAGAATTTCCACTTCATTTCAACCACTATAGTGGTCTCTGCAGCAATACTGGTTTGATGCATACAGTTTCCAAATAGGTTGGCCCTTATTTTTCATTCTCACTGCTCCAAGACTGTCCTGGCATTACAACTCCAGCAAGTGGACAAAGTGGAGTATAGATTTCTAGGATACCTGTGACTACTTCGCGTTGCCATCTCCATTCTTTAATTTCAATTGATGATTAAACATTGAGTTCTTACTTTTAATATGCAGGTCTCCCTCAGACAAGAGGAAATCTGATAAGAACACTGTAAAAGCAGAAGGTCAAAGTGAAATTGATGGTGTTGCAGGTATGTGCATCCCGCTATCTATCACTTTTTGCCAAATAACTAACTGTATAGGGACAAGTCTTATGTGCTTAGTAGAGCACTGATGGCAACCATGGGCAAATTTTGCTTTTTATTTCAAAGACACCCGTCCGAAATTTAGTGGTACTTGTGAAATTTGTGTTGAATTGCATGTGCAATAGAATTCATTTGCATGACATATATATAAGGGTTGTGGCATAGCATGTCCCTGTTTATCAAGTGTACTAAAAATTGCTGTAAGACACATAGCTGCAGTGTAATCCTAGTTTCAGCGTACACATAGCTCCAAACTTTTTTAACTTCATTATATCTGATCTGAAAGCTGCCACATTTGAAGTATCCTCGCAAGAATTGTTAAACATAGCTTAACTGTCTTCGTCAGTGATTGCTACCCTAGATTTAACTGAAATGCGCTGCAAAAACTAAGAACTATAAAATTCTCAGTGGAAACTGTATCACCGAGCCAACTGGTATTAAAAACTGGAAAAACAATTTCCCTGATTATTTTGCAGACTGGGGAAAAAAAAATTTCATTTACATATAAATCCACAAAGGATAATAAATTAAGACAATTCTCATTCGGGATACTGTACAGAATAATAATGACCAAAAAGGAGCTCTTCACATTCAGACTAGTTGAGGATGAAGCATGCACTCTTTGTCTCTGACCAGACTCTATAGAACATACATTTCTAGACTGTACCGTAACAACAGCCTTTTACTAGAAAGCCGTATCATGGTTCAACCACGAATATGACACCGATATTACACTTTCAAATAACCAAATAACCTTTAACGACATCCCCGGTTTATCTCATCTAACCGATTACCCAAGATGCAGACTACACCTTTTCATCATTATTCTAAAACAATACATTTGTGCCTGTATTAAATGTTTGGACAAGAAACCAAACATGCAGGAATTTCAAAGAAAAGCTGTATTACAATGGCAAATAGAGAAATGCGCTCTTCCCTAAGTCACAGTTTTTCTCGGGAAGCTTTTTTTTTCTGATTTAACTAGCCAATTGAAACAACACACTAAACCAAAAGCCCAAAATCTCATCTTTTTCCTACCAGCCCTGTCTCTAAATCTACTTTGTAGTGTTAGTAGAAAGTAACTAAGGTGTCGTTTTGTAAAGTACTTCAAGTAGTTTTAAGTAGGCAAGTAAGCGCAATTAAAGAATTGTGAGCTTTTTATTGTAATGTAAGTCATGTTTTGTTTAGCAGTGTAATGTAAGTAACGCTGTAAGTGACTGTTAGTAAGTGACCATTAGCAATGTAATAATAATATTATTGTAAGTAACGTGACTGTTAGTGACCTGTAGTAAGTAACATGACTGGTAGTGACCTGTAGTATAAGTTTAAATATGTACTAGTGATTACTAGTGATTAATCAAATAACTACAGTAATATAATAAGTAGAGAGATGTTGAGTAATGTAAGTGGAGTAATGTAATGTAAGGGTGTGTTTCTGTAAGAAAATCCAAGATTGGATTCTTAAATCTGCAAGAATCTGAAAACGGATTTTGCATTTCTTTACTAAACAGATCAATCCCAGATCTCTCGGATCATGATACGTCAAAGGAACTGAAGAATCCACCTTGGGAGTGGATTCTTTGGTTCCTTTGATGCACCATGATCCGAGAGATCTTGGATTGATCTCTTCAGTAAGGAAATGCAAAATCCGTTTTCGGATTCTTTCGGATTTATAAATTCAATCTTGGATTTTCTTAAAGAAACGCACCCTAAGTTTAGTCCTGTACGAATGTTTCTTTAAATTAAAAAAAAATTACATCTCATGTTCATTATGTCATCAAATGACTGGGACCACATGATTTATTCAACAAGGAAGATGAAAAGCTAGATCCACAAGAGACCTTTGTTAACCTGTGGAAATAAGTAATCTTACATTTTAGTTATTTCGTGGATGAAATTTCATAGTTTTGACCATTTTCATATAATGCAGCTTTTATGAAGGTCTTTATGCATGTATATTGCCATTCTTTTGACATAATGATAAACTAAATGTACTTTAGGTCACTGTAAGCATTTATGCATGTATGCTGTATTTGAATGTTCAAGTATACGGTATTATATTTTATGTGCAGAGTCATTTTCTGTCTAATTACTGTTTATACTTTTGGTTAGATTGTCATAATTGAGGTTAGACAGTACTAAGAAATAGTAATTTCCTTATTATTCAGATTTGAAACATCAATATTATCGTTAAGTACTGTTATAAATATTACATTGAACTTTCTTGACTAGATGGTGAGGAGGTTCATAATGAAGATGAGGAAGCCATGATGAAAATGATGGGATTTTCTAACTTTGATTCAACAAAGGTTATTACTACAAAACTCATTTTATGCTGTAAACTGTAGAAGAAATATTGGGCTATAAACCTTTGAAAAATTGCCAGTAGCTGGCCCAATTTGAAACTACCAGGGTTGTCAGAGTTTTTTAACTGTTTCCTTGATCTTTCTACTGTGTCAACAACTGGCAAGATCACCTGTCAACATTTAGAGCCCATCATCCACACTCAGCTGTTACAGGTGTTTCAGGTTACAGCCCTTAATGACAGCTCTGACTACACTTAACCTCCCTGAGGCAGACATGGCTGCTGCACTGGACCTAGCCACTGTTTTCCAGGGGACCAGTAATTACAATTTCTTTGTCATGCCCAATTTTTAAATAAGAACCACCCTTGAATAAGTGCCACATTAAGTGACAAGACTTCAATACTGGGGTTAATAATGAACTAACAACTATTTTCTAAACTTGCCAGGGTAAACATGTGGCTGGTGCATGTAATATGAGCTCTGCCAGTGTAAAGAAGGCCAACAAATACAGGTGAAAACTCCGGACTATAATGTGTGCATTTAGTATAATGTGTATGCTAAACCTTTTAATCCTGTTTATTGTATTTCTAACAGTATATCTTAATAGTTCTTGTGTCTTGTGCACCTCCATTGAATTGTCAGCCCCTTTAAAGTAAAATTTTGGAAATAATTCCTTCTCCATTCTTGAGCATTCAAATTTACCAACAATATATATTTACATCAATGGAAATTACCTATAAAATTATGATACGTTGTTGATAACTACAGTCCTTAGTGCACTGAAGCTATTAAAGGGTTGTTATGTAATATGATGTGTTATGAATGCAGAAGATTTTAATTTAAAATAGAAAATGTTGGGAGAAGATTTTTAGTGGACCTTAGGCAGAGCACCATACTCATATAGGAAAGAAAAGGAAACCCATGAATTTATTTTGTCATGGTTATCATGGTTAGTGGTATTGCTTGTGGGTGCACACGTACGACAACGACAGTGACCTCGCACAATATGACAGCCATACTCTCGCCAGTAGGTTGACCAAGACAGGCTTGGTGTATAGCATATGTCCATGTTATTGTCAACTGACACCTATCAAAACAAGGTGTCCACTGACCAGTGTCACGTGACCATATCGTGGGCTCAAGTTATGAGCTCATTGCAATCACATGTTTTTTTTGAAGTTGACAGCTGACCAAGTGCAGGTTTTCGATTGGATTGTGGGCTCAAGCCAGGTTAACTTGTAATCAGGGCTGGGTTGTTCGAAAGGCAGTTAACTCTAACCCAGGATTAAAAGTTAACCAAAGCATAAATTTTTCTGGTACAAAAATGTTTTTACTACTTATGTTTTGTGTAGTTTGAGATTGATGAGACTCAAGACAGAATAAAAACAGATACAAAACTCAAATCAAAATTCTTGTATGTCCATGGTTAGCTTAATTGAGCTTTGAACAGCCTGGCCCAGGAGCACCACTTTAAGGCTAAATCTTCACGTTTAATTATGTCCTTGTGTCTCTGAAAAATCCAGATTGCCCTTTCTTCAACAATTCACAAAAATGACTTATGTTCTGATATTCTCCCTGTATAAGCAAAGGTATATAGTCACAGCTTTAGCATTATTTTAACCAGAAATGCACCAAATTGCTCATGATGACACATTAGCCTGTTTATTTATTTTTTTATTGGTACATGACTGTGCAATACTGATTTCCTCATTTTGGGAATTTTCATTTTCAACAGACAGTACATGAACCGAAGAGGAGGCTTCAACAGACCACTAGATTATGTCAATTAGTTAGCAATTTAAAATAGATCTATTGGAACATTTCAAGTTGTCCTGTTTACAACTGGGACATCTCCAGTATTGTCCTTGCAGTCGTTTGGGTTCCTTCATGCATGGTGAAATTCTAACAGAGACAAAGTCGAGGGAAACATCAAGTCCCGAAGGAAAACAAATTTAACTGTTTTCCAAAGGGCCATTATTTATTTGCCACTGGTTTTAGATTTTCTACACCTTGTAAAAATGTGACAGAAAAAAAAACACTAGTTTGACTTCCTAAATATTTTATTTCCAGTTTTGTACTCCGAAGATATCCAGGGTAATTACGTTATGCGTTAAGTTCTCTTGATTATCTCTCCTGATTGGTTGACATTTTCTTCTTAATTTTGGAATAAACAGAACATATCTTTGAAAAAGGCTTCATCATTTCTTACATTTAAAGGATAAAATGTGAAAAAATCTTTAATGTATAGACTGAAAATCATGCTACCGGTAACTGGGACAAACCTTTTGATGTAAGTTCTGGAGAAAAGTTCCCTTGTAGTAACCTAAGCATGTATTTGCATTTTACAGGCCGCTTTCATGAGAATTGAATGATTCTCCTTAAGAAAAAAGTGTTTTCTTTTGTGCAATGTTTTGAAAAAGCAATTTGCAAAACTGAGTGGTCCATCTTAGCAGTTGTATGGTAAAATCTAGACTGCTCAGGGAACTAATCAATTCTCCTTTTCATCAATGGACCAATTTGCCATGTAACTATATAACTTTATAATATACATAGGACCCTACACATGCTCTGATTGGTCAAAAACCCATGTTTTATCAGAGTATAAAACATAGAAAAAGCGTGTATTATTGCTTTTTGTCACATTACCTCTATATCATAAAGCAAATGAAGAAGACTAAGCTGTGTATTACACTGTGATAAAGCTCCCTGGACACAGAAATGTGGAAAACACTTGCCTGCAGCTGGTGATTTCTACATTTCCTTCGCGTGTCTTCTGAATTATTATATAAAAGCAATTTGATTTACGAATTCTTCTCTTGTTCTTCCAACATCCTGCGTGGTTTATCAGCCTATAAACCATAAAAACTTGTGGTCTATTGCTTAATTTTACTTAGAGACTGCTTTGTGCAGTTTTTCTCTCTCCCTTGATTTTCTCTCACACTATTCATAATAATATTTTAACTTCAACACTGATGTGAAGTTAATTATTAATTAAATCATCTACAGTCCCATCTTTTTCTCTATTGCAATGTTCTGTACATATTTGTTAAAAGAATATAGATATTCATTTCTAGTTTTGAAAATAGTAAAATCAACATTTTGTAGCACTTGGTCAGTCATGCTTTTTTGTCTGAATGTTCTTTCCCTAAAGTAAGACAGTTGAACCTCTCCATACGGACACCTCTGTAATACGGACAGTTGCCTATGTACCAACAAAATTCTCATACATCTCCTTAAAGAAATCTCTATAATATGGACCCTCTCTAAAACGGACAACAGACACTTAATCTTGGCCCTGGGGAGAAAATTCATACAAATTTAACCTCTTTATTACAGACACTCCAGGGACCAGGTGCTGATAATTTGTGATATGTACCATTTCCTGTCAGCTGTTACACAAACATTGACAAACTGTCGGTGTAGCCTTGAAAGTGACATCATCAAAGAGACTACTCCAATACGGACACCTCTCTAATACGGTCACTTCGCTCTGTCCCTTCGGTGTCCATATTAGAGAGGTTCGACTGAAGTTTGAAACTGGAGTATCCTCTGGAGTTTCCTCTGCTATTTCTGACCGATGGTCTGGCCTACCCAAAGCATGGTGGTACTTGGAGTGTTCACATAATTTTTTCAATGTGCGTGCATCTGGTCAAAGATTGATTAGCTGGCATGTGGCATGGGAAGATGCTATTATTTCAGCTGGTGGGGTCTTGGCACAAGGAAAGTGTGGTTCCAGAGACAAATTTGCTTCTCAGATGCCTACACAACCCTGTTGATGTTTCTACCAATTTCCTGGATAAGCTCAAATGTTGTAAAAGTTTCTCTGTAACTCCCTGGGATATATTTTCCATGCCCTTTGAATGAGTGGAGATTGGGAAGGAGGGTTTATCAAAATAAATTAGATGTAAGAAATGCTTTGGAAAATATTATCTTTATTTAGTGATCAAAGAGAAAAAAAAAACGAAAAATAAAAGGAAATTCAGTGGACAGCCAACATATATTTTGTTATTTTCTTGAAATTGACTTGCAAAGGAGAGCAACTAGTTTGATTAAAACTTTAACATGAATGCACACTAAAAATATAAATAAAACTGATGAAAGGAAATTAAGCTTTATTTTGTATTTTAGGAACAAGTTCGTGGTAGTTTTAGTTTTTTGACGAACTTCCATATCCACGTAATTTTTTCTCAGACTTTTTGTTTGATCTTGCCCAGGTTTCCTTGAGTGCGTGCTATTTCCTGATCACAACTGTTACCTTTGATATCCGCCACGGCTCACCCAAAAATTTTGAAACAAGGAAATGACGAAAAAACAACGGAAAGATCCGAGCTGGAAAGAAAATCAGGGTGACATTTTTAGATTAGGGCCCAGTCTTCTCTCACAGCTCAGCGGTTATCAATCAAATATTTATGAGTTTGTGATCGAAGAAACTCTAAAATGGCGATGGAGGCTGCTCCAACTTCCCCGCAATTAACAAACTACGCTCCGCAAAATACTGCCACGGTAACTCACACGGTGCCTGCCTCGCATACAACAGTAAATCTTATACAGCCTGAACAAGGGAAAGGTCTTTATATTGTCGATCCTTCCCAGCAACATGCGTTACAGATGTTCGGAAGTCCCGATCAGAGAACCTTCATGGCGAACCCCGTTGAATTTAATCCTGCGGCCGGAACAATAACAACAACCGCTGTTTCTAATGGAAATGGACAAATTACCATGGTAAGTATTATTAAAATGGCTTACAACACTCAGCAAGGGTTGTAGTCCAATAGCATTCGAGTACAGAATTGGAGTTTGCGAGAAAACGCCGTCTCGTGTGTTCGATCTTTCTAAAGACGCGTACCCCGTTCGTCCGTCGGGGCACTTAACGGCACGAATTCGTCGCCAGAAACACGTACAAACTATCACACTAGTGGTTTCTCGTGAGCTTTAGAGTTTACCAGGTCTCTGGAAATTCAACCTGTCGGCTAAGTTGTGAATTTAAAACCGTCCAATCGAGAAATATCGCTGGAACTGCTTCGCTATTGGTCTAAGCGCTGGCAATGTGCATGACTGAACTTTTGTTTGTATTGAAATGAGTGAGCACACATATAAGCACGGAACGGTACACGGTGGATTTTCATATACCAATCACGTCCAAGATATTGGAGTATAGAAAAGACGAATAAAAAAGCTACAGTTTCTCTTGCGAAAGCTTTCCTTTTAGCTTCCGTGAACCAAAACTCACGCCTTGCATTTTAATGAACACAGCAGATGTTTTTCGTTGTCTGCAGTTCTATCGCACTTCTCCCGGAACACTATTTATGTGACTCGGTAGTTCACGCTTATGTGATTTGTGGTCTATTTTCACGTCAGTATATTAACAGTCTTCCTCAATTTTAGGGTTCGAAATTTAGCACAAATCGATAAAAGTAAACACTGGTGACTTTTACAGTCATTGTTCGCCAAAGGCCGGAAGGGATATTTTTGTAAGTTCGCAGTTGATATCATTTTCATTCTCTTCACGATCGTGTACGTTGCAGCTTGACTGATAGAGTTTTAAAAACTTTCATATCATCATTGGCTTTTGTCAAAAAATTGAGTAACAGCTGTATACAGGTGTTAATTTTGTCATATCTGACAAATTGTACACTGTAATGTGAAAGCAGAGTTACACAAAGCAAAACCTTCTGGAGGGAGAAGACGACAGCAGTCTGGAAATTAGAAAGTTTTTAAATAGTTTCATGGTTTGGCTCATGTGCAAGCTATGGCATGGGTATAAAGTGCCTTTTTAGCTTCTGTACTGAACCACATGTAGTTCAGCAACTGTGGGCTACAATTTGTGCAAGCAGAGTGACTAATGCCCAGTTTTCTTGGAGGATATCAATGGATTTACTCAGAAAAATGTTTAGTTTAACTAGTGTCATACATCAAGTCACAAATAAATATGTGAGTGTCCATCATTATTCGGGCCAAAGGATGTATTCTTGGCTACTCACGTCTGATTGGTTTATAAACAGTGGAATTGAGTGGTGCATGGGAGTTGGAGCATACAAAATTAAAAGAATTTTCATGAGAAATATAACATCTATTGGTGCATTTTCATAACTGAGTACAAAATTTTTTGAGGAACATTTCCTTGAGATTCATTAGCTGGCTTGCAGTAGAGGTTTCTTGAATATCCTGGGTACTTTAGGTGCATTCTGAAGACATCAAAATGAGCTGCAAAGCCATGACAAAAAAAGCCTTGTACAGTGAAACCCCGCTCTACAGACACCCGCTTAATACGGACACCTGCTTCTGATGGACAGTTTTCTTTGTCCCAGCAACTAAAAAGCTCATATATTTTCTCTCAAATTAGCCTGCTTAATACGGACACCTGGATAATGCGGACACTTTATCATGTCCCTTTGGTGTCCGTATTAATGGGGTTCCACGGTATAACAATCTGCTCTTGATGAACTTTGATTTATCATGTCAGAGTTAAACCACTCTCTCAGCATGTGCTCTCAACGGTTAGACAAAGACATTGCAAAATTGGTTCTTCAATAACTTATTCCATAGAGAGTGTGAAATCATGGTATTTCAAGGTTGATGCTAGTGTTTGCGTGATTGAAAACAACAACTGACGACAAAAACTGCCATCATTCCATCTCATCACGTGCCAATGCAATGGATCTTTGACCATAGTTTGCCATACATGTACTTTGTAACAAATCAAGAAATCAAGAAACCTAGAGTGTGTTGAACTCCACCCTCTATCTCTTCATACTGCATATTCATCTTTTCTTCTTTATTCGTCTTTCCTTTCCCATTCTTGAAGGATAGGGGTGGACTTTGCAATGTACATGATTTATTGGGCAGACGTTCGGTTGCTTCGGTCATCCAGAGCTATTTCTAAAATCACATTTGACCTCATACGTGTCCAACTGTAAATTGTTGCAGTAACAAACTACAAACTGTCACTCATTGTTTAAATGATTATGCAAATTTATGATTTAAAATTACATTTATTTTTGTTTTGAAATATTGTGTTGTTTTTGTTCCTCTGTATTTAACCAGATGAATGGACAAGCTTTAGGAAGTCAGAGACTACCAGTTGCCATGGAAACTTTGGATGAACCACTTTACGTCAACGCAAAACAGTACCACAGAATAATAAAAAGACGGCAAGCAAGAGCAAAGCTCGAAGCTGAGGGAAAAATACCAAAAGTTCGAAAGGTTAGTTTGTATTTTTGTTGAATTTCACTAGTACAGCTGTTGCATTTCTTTGCAGGCATCACCGACAAAGTGAAAAAAGCTGAAAAAAGTAATGTCAAATTTGGACTCTGTCAGAGTTCACTTCTACACTAAACATCATGAATAACTTGAGGAAATTGAAGGCATTTGACTTACACCTGTAGCGAATAGAAAAATAATTTGAAGCGTAATGTTCTTTCCAATTAAAGAATGTGTCAGTTAGAAAACATTGTAAAAAAGTGATTTTTTTGTTTTGATGCATTTTGCAATAACAAATGCGACTAAGTCATATTTTGTAATTGTAAAAAGCATCAAACAAAAGAAGCACTTTTATCAATTGAAACTAAAAAAACCCTGGTACCTAGAAACCACACTCTACACATGAAAGAATATCTAGAATTATCAGCAGCTCAGATATTGAGACTTCAATGTTTTACTAGTAATCGATAATATTAACTTGTATGTTTTTTGGCAACAATTTTTAGAAATATCTCCATGAGTCAAGGCATCAGCATGCTTGCAGAAGGAGAAGGAGCAACGGGGGTCGCTTTGTTACCAAACCTGAGCAAGAACCAGGAATACAGGATGGTGGAGTAGGAGATGGCCAAGTATTCCAGGAGGGCATGGTACCATCTCAGGAACATGATCCACAAGAACAGGCATACAGTGTTGTCCCAGCTCCTGAGCCGAACAGAGTACAAATGACGAGTCAGGCTCCTGAGCAAACAGAATAAGGTGATTATAACCAAATATTATTTATATACTGCTTCCAGATGGCTCCTTAGCAATTCTGAGAAATAAAATTAAAATCGAGGAACATAAATCTAAGCCACAAATAAATATGTGAGAGAGGGATGTTACTAAAACTGGTAACGGGGAACGAGGATTGAACAGGGAGTGGGGAACCGGGAACGGGAGTCTGGGAACAAGTGTACAGCGGTAACCCGCCTAAGAATTCAATATGGCGGCAAAGGAAAAGAAAAGGGAACAATTTGGGGAAATGTAAGGAAGTGTTACGGTTGTAAACTTTAGTTTCTACCAGCTGTGCCTCAAAGTCCAATATGGTAAGTACTGAGAAAAACAAAGCACGAAATAGCGCCTGGGGAGAAAATCGAATCGGTATTATCACATGCTACCCCAATGGGTCAGTACCAAACCTGAGTAAGAAATTCAGACTGCAGACTGGGTACAAAATGCAGACTAGGTACAAAATGCAGACTGCAGACTGGGTACAAAACGCAGACAGAGAATAAAGAATGTTTTTCATCTGATACATGACAACATGTCATCTAAAAACATACCGAGTGTCACGCAGTCGCTTTTCCACGGTCATCTTTCACCAACATTAGCATTATTGTGGAATATTCCTAGCTCGTTTCTTCATATATTTTGTCTTTAACAAAGCGGCTGGCCAGGCCACAGGTTATTTATCTGCTGCTCACCTGATTTGCCAGCTGACTTGCCGATCTCCGAAAGGCCGCCTTTCTAGCTTCCGAATGCGAAGGCAGCAGACGACCCACGTTCACTGATGCTCATGTGTTATGTCACTTGTCCTCGATATCATATTGCGTGTTGCTATTTTTAAATATTGATATGACAGCTCGCGCACAAAGTGAGAAGATATGAGTAGACTATGAAGGCTTGAAATTCTRTGTAAGAAAGACTGTGGCCTGACCGATTGGCGGACGTAGCTTGTGATAWTAYAGGATWATACCGATTCGATTTTCMCCCCAGGCGCCATTTCATGCTTTGTTTATCCCAGTACCAATCGGACTCTTCTCTAACAAGAACGTACTGGGCCATGATCTGGTGGCACAGCCGGTAGAAACTCACGTTTACAACTGTAACACTTCCTCACATTTCCCCAAATCGTTCCCTTTTCTTTTCTTTTGTCCGCCACGTTGAATTTTCACGTAGGGTACTGCTGTAAACTTGTTCCCAGACTCCCGTTCCCGGTTCCCGGTTCCCGGTTCCCGGTTCCCGGTTCCCGGTTCCCCATTCCCTGTTCCCCATTCCCTGTTCCCCATTCCCTGTTCCCCATTCCCTGTTCCCCATTCCCTGTTCCCTGTTCCCTGTTCCCCGTTCCCCGTTCCCTGTTACCAGTTTTAGTAACATCCGTGAGAAAGCCACCTATTGTAGCTACATGTACCGTTCTGCATGAAAGTAATGCAAGATATTAATAAATTGTAAATTTTCTTAGTATTGTTAAATTGTAAGTTATGTTAGCACTGTAAGTAGAGTGGGTAATTTTTGTATGTAATGTAATGTTATTGTTGCAATAGAAAAAAAAAAAATAAAAAATAAGGTGTTTATTATTGTTGTTATAGTTAAAACGTTAAGCATTGTGGCTGCTGCATGTCGTGTCATTTTCAGGAGACACTGTGTAAGACACACTACTACATGTATGATACCTGGATGCCCTTCTAACTAATGGCTTAGTCATACAGGGTATTTATAAAATCAGGGTGACTAATGGATTGACCTTATTCTGGAATAATAGCATATTCTGGAATATTCTATAAGAGCTATTTCATCTGCTTGTGGAACAATCCAAGCATGTGTTATTTTAGTGCATTTGGAAGCAACCCTTTTAATTGCTCGCACCAAAGAAAAAAAGAAAACGAAAAAGAGCACCTCTTTCATTCTCCTTCCAAATCTGAGAGTATGGTTATTTAATGAGTAAGTACAATACAACATGAAATAACATGAAATGTGTAAGTACAATACAACATGAAATAACATGAAATGTCGTCAAAATTCCAGAATTGCTTCCAGTCTGTGGTAGATACTTGGTTACTGGTAGTTTAGGGGTTAAACTGTTAAATGGTAATGTATTTTTATAAACAGAATTTTACACTCTTGCTCATTTCAACTTTGCTTTTCTTTTTCAGATACCTATCTTCTTGGCAAACAATATTATAAAGTTGATACGTGTAGAATGCTTTCAAGTGGTGGTCATTGAAATATCCCTTAAGTAATCTGAGATTCAGTATGTAAATACACAGTCACAAGCCTTATCACTTGGGATGTTCACTGTATACCACAGAAAATAATGGAAGAATTATTTTATTCTGTACTGAGTTTTCAGTGGGAATAAACCAGTAGCTGTGATGGGTGTGGCACATCATGGTAGAAAAACAGCCTGTAGGATACAGCTAAAGGTGCTTTGGTTTTTGCAGCCTTCTGAAGTTTGATTGTATCCTCCAGAACTTGGGGAAAAATTTAAGAGTTTTAGTCCTTTAAGTCCAGCTCCAAATTATTCATACACCTAGAGCTGTTCTCTGTATTTGTCGTCAGTATTTTCAAAGCTGTACATGTATGCTTTGGTCAGGTTTTTTATTATTAACTTAGGCTTACATACTCAGGGTTCTCAGATTAAGCAGCGTAAAATAATGGATTAATGTACATAAATATAAATTATCTTTTACTAGAGTGGTTTTCAATTGAGTGTCATAAAACCAAAGCCAAAGTAATAGCTCAAGGCAATCACAAAGGACAAATGAGACTATCCAAGGAACCAATCAATATACAAAATAAAGATATGTAGCAGACTGTCACAAAGTGCGAGCTAATCACAATGGTCAATTCCCTCTATGAGATTTGCCTGCAGGGAATCATGGTAGTTGTATTCGTAATCTTGGTCTGGATATTTGTTTTGATGAATACAACTACCATGATTCCCTGCAGACATGTCTCATAGAGGAAATTAGCCATTGGTTTTGGTTATACCTCTGATTGGATGAAAACGTGGAACAAGTTTTTTAAGCCAATTGTGAGGCATGGTAATGCAAAACCAATTACTTTTTGACACTCAAGTGAAAACTGCTCTAAGTACTTATTAAGTAGCTTATATCACAGAAAACAAGTTCAGTGGTTGCACACAGACGGCCCTGTCAGAATGTCCTTGCAGTCAGCAGTTTTGCCTCCTACAGTAAATTATTTGCCACCTACTTCACACTGAAGTTCCTTAATCCTGAATTTTAACAAATCCATCTGTGATCTTCACTGCTTTCTACTTCTGTTATCCTGCATTTTGACAGGGCTGACATAGAACTGTATTATCTTATTTATGCAAAATCAGCTACACATGATAAATGACATACAGAGATACTTTAAATTGTGAGTGAAATACTGGAATAAATGTATAGTGACACAGGCCAATAGGCTATTTCAGAGATTTTTTATTTTCAGAGTTACCTGGTGTCTCTATTTCAAAAGGAGTCTTTGTGCAAAACCTTTCTAAATATGAAAATAAGTTTGAAGACATGATTGTGAATATATGATCTTTCATATATTCACCTGTAAAATAAGTTTGATTTGCATGAAAATGAACCTGTAGGCGGAACTCATTTCATATGTGTGGTTTCACACAAAGACTTGTTTTGACACAGAGGCAAAAGGCAACTCAGAAATGGCCTATTGATGATTTTTTTTTTACCTAAGCCAGCTGTGTAATATGCTAGTTTTTTCTTCATTGGACATTTTTTCAATTTCAAATCTTTCAATGACTGGTATTGTGACAGGTTTTTTACTCCTTCCCACCGAAGCATCTCGCAGATTTCATGGTGTTATTTTTCTTAGCAATCTGTATTTCCAACTTGTTCATTTATAATTATTATTTAGAAAGTAGTGTAGAAAGTGGTGTTCACTGATTTCATTTGTATGACAACACACTTTGGAGAGTGGTCTTATGCACAATCTTGAAAGTTAGAACCAACTTGCTCAGTCACAGTATGACAAACAGTATCACATAACAGTATTTGGATGGTCGCCCATTAGATTTTCATGTACAGACTTAAAAGTTGTATTTTTTTTCTTTTGGATTGCTTCAAAAGCTACTAGTTACTCTGTGTATTTTTGACTCTTGAGTGCTTTTACATGATGGCCATGTTCACATCTTTGAATTATGGAATTTCTCTCCTTTGGGAATTGAGTTCTTGTGTTATGTGAAAGAAAATGCTCTGACTATTCTCTTTAATCTTTAGAAAAGTAGATTACTGCTTTCCTGGTGGTATGGGCCCATGGCCAGGAGAATGGAAACAAATTATTAGTTGCGTGGGTACTTAAACATTGGTATGATCTGTGTGGGCTAGCTTGTATACACAGTTACCAGCCTAGTGGACATTTCAGTCTGAAACTCAGGCTAAGGATTGTGTAGTAAAGGCAAAAGTTGGAAAAACTGTCTTGCATAGTAGTCAGTATAAAAGGTGTCAATGCTCTTGTATTATGCATGGATATAATTTCAAAACAACTGGAGTTAGCCTGCGAACAGGCTCCCAGTAAGCCCGAACGAAGCGAGGGAGCCTCCCCTGTCCCCGCCCCGATCGCTTTGCTCTCCAAATTCTTCTGTTTCATGCCCACCAAAATTTTTTTCCGTCCTCACCAGGAGCCTGTTTGCAGGCTAAACTGGAGTCTGCTGCCTCATCATCAGTGATATGAATGCAACACATCAGTGAGATGAACGGATTTTGTTTTTTTACATTTTACCTCCACATATTTTCAAGAACATTTACATCGTGTAAAAAATGTCCATTAGGCAATTGGGTTGTCAACTTAACAGTACACTGTTTGAGGTAGGAAGAGGTTGCCTTGCTCTGTTAGACTCTGGACACTCAAACCATAAATGCTTGAATTTTTTTGTACATTTTTTTGGTAATTACGGCATGAAGGCTCCTCATATTAACAGAAGTGTTTCATGTTCTAACGCCAAATAAAGGCTTATCTTTGTCATCATGAGAAGAGCTCTCATGCTGTAGCTCTCCCCCAAAAATGTACAAAAATGCCAAGTGACTATGGTCTGAGTGTCCTTAGTGTAAGGTTGTCTCAATAATTGTGACCATTCTCATTGTAGTGATTTCACAATAGATTTGTCAAGCCTCCTTATAGACTCATTGAACCTTCAGTGTCTCTATCATTCAAGTTGTTGTCCTTTGTAAGTTCCTATCTTGATTCAATATCAGTTTGATACAAGATTTAGGGCTGTAATAGATTCTTTTGGCAGTGGCTATTTGTGTAGGAAATATACCCCTATCGTTGGATGTTAAGTTTTTTTTTTTCTGTACTGGTAAGAAGCCATGACTGTGTCATTGTAATTTATAGCAGAAAATAAAGTGCATTTCTAAACAAACTACACAGTTATGTATCCATTAGAAAGAGTGCAGCTTAATTAAAAATACACTTGCACCGTTTTTGGCAGTTTTTGGAGTTCTTGTGCTGAAAGATTCAAGCCTGTAGGGGGGTGGGGGGTGGGGGGGTGCTATAGAAAGTTTTACATGGGTAGACTCTGCCCTGACAGCCAACCCCTTACCCTTTTATATTCCATTTTGAAAGAAAAGGTACCCCTTTCGTACACCTTTAATTGAAAAAAGGTCCCCCTTTCACATGCTTTTATGACTGCCCCCTATTACGAATAAATCGTCAAAAAAGGAAATATTGTCATTTTCATGTAGGGCTTCATAAATTAAATTATACAGCCATAAGGTGCATCAGGCGGCAGATTTCCCTTCCGTTTTATATACCTCAACTTCTGAAATCCTGACCCCTTTATATACCTGAGGACTGAAAAGATACCCCTCCTGGGAAGAGCCTCGCCGTGTAGGCCATTATTGGGAGTACCCCCCCAGGAGTAGGTGTTGTATTATTTGGATAAATTTAAATTGCTTATGAGGGAGGCTCTTCCCTTATTGTCCAGTGAGTTCTTTAATGCTGTATTTAAGTGTTCTGCGTATTAAGTGCGGACTTATTTTCCGTTTTAAACAGTCAGCCCTTTAAAACAAGGATGTTTCTTTTCGTATTGACCAATTCAATCATTGCATAGAACAGGGATTGCTTAACTTCAGGGAACTTGGTCCCCATCTTGACTGAATCAGTGCATTAAAACAGGGAACTTATAGTTCCTGGCTTGACCAATCAGTGCTTTAACACAGGGAACTTAGTTGCCGTCTTGACCAATGAGTTCCTTACACATGTAAAACAGTGAACTTGGTTCCTGTCTTGACCAATCAGTGTTTTAAAAGCAGGGAACTTACTAGTTCCCATCTTGACCAATCAGTGCTCTAAAACAGGGAACTTAGTTCTTATCTTGACCAATCAGTGTTTTAAAACAGGGAACTTAGTTCTTATCTTGACCAATCAGTGCTCTGAAACAGGGAACTTAGTTCTTATCTTGACCAATCAGTGCTCTGAAACAGGGAACTTATTACCGTCTTGACCAATCAGTGCTCTAAAACAGGGAACTTAGTTCTTATCTTGACCAATCAGCGCTCTGAAACAGAGAACTTAGTTCCCATCTTGACCAATCAGTGCTCTAAACCAGGGAACTTAGTTCTTATCTTGACCAATCAGTGCTCTGAAACAGGGAACTTAGTTCCCGTCTTGACCAATTTCGTGTTCTAAAACAGGGAACTTAGTTCCTGTCTTGACCAATCAGTGTTTTAAAAAAGGGAACTTAGTTCCCGTCTTGACCAATCAGTGCTCTTAAGCAGGGAATTTAGTTCCTGCCTTTACCAATCACCGGGACCAATCAGTGCTCTAAAGCAGGGAATTTAGTTCCCGTCTTGACCAATCAGTGTACTTAGTTCCCGGTTTGACCAATCAGTGTTTTAAAACTGGGAACTTAGTTCCCATCTTGACCATTCAGTGCTTTAAAACAGGGAACTTAGTTCCCTTCTTCACCAGTCAGTGTTTTAAAACAGGGAACTTAGTTCCCGGTTTGACCAATCAGTGTTGTAAAAGAGGTAACTTAGTTTCCCGCTTGACCAATCAGTGAACAAATACACTACAATACTGATTACATGACGTACCTCTTGTGAAAAGACAACAAAATGGCGTCCAAAGTTCCCTTGGAATTTTGGTAGTCCTATTCTAAAGTGATCTACCTTGTAACGGCAGCCAGTTCAGGGCCAAATAGATCAGTGAGATATCGTTGAAATAGTCTCTACCGATCGCTTCCCTTCACAAACTAAGCAAAGCCTGAGGTGAGTATCGAAACGTTGCTATCGGGGATTATTTTAAATAACATTTGAGCGTATACTTAAGTTCACTTTTACTTATATTTTCAACGGTGGTGATGCCCTACACCAAAGGTCTCGGGTTTTTAATGTAAGCTGAAGGTAAAGGTTTCCGTTTTTCTATAGCTAGGAACTTATCGAGGTTTCAGCTTATTTTTTGCACGTAGTCAGTCAATAATTTCCCTCTCGCTCTATATTATGAGGAAATAAACATTGAAATGATAACTATTTGTATCGATCACCTCCCCAAGCATATATCTGGCTGGTCATTTTACTCGTTGATATTCCCGGAGAAGCTGGAGTTTGTTAGTAGTCTACTTACTTGGTAAATAGTGCTTTTCATACATTCTGATTGGTTAAGGTGGCCGAACACAGTTGTCAAGTGCCTATGCCTAATTCACCATTAGTTTTAAGCTATTTATGCTTTGGCGGCCGTTTTCTGCAAGAGTCAAGGTTAACAACAGAAGGGTTTATTCTCCCATTTTGGCTAAGGTGTGTGCTGTTGCCATGGCAACGGAGCTGGTTAGAAACAACGCTTGAAAAATGGTTTTTGTTTATTTAAAAAAATCCAGTCAGAGTTTTTTCATCATTTGCCTACTACGAATTGACATTAAATCCCTTCCGTCAACACTATTCTAATAAAATTTTGACATAGACGATTTTTGTAATTCGCCGTAAGTCATTTTCACTGCATGTTCTGTATTGTTAAAAATTCCTTATGTCAAAAATTAGATTTTTTGTGACAGATCATTCATGTGGTTTCTGAACTATTTTTTTTTTTGCCAAATTTCTTGAAATTCTAACGACTGGGGCATTAGAAATCGGCAAGTTTCTGCAAAAGCAATGACTGAGTTGCCAGTAATCGGATACCCGTGTTTGTACAAAGAACTCTGGGATCGTCATGGGGCAAACATTGCAAGTCGCTTGAAGGAAATGTATGGCGAAAAGTTGTTTCGACGCCCAAAAACATGGTTCTGGGGAGAGATCAACGCTTTTTTGCCATTGTTTTATCGCGAATGGATTTTGGCAATGTTGATACATGGAAAATGTAGGTTTTTGTTTGAGTAACCGTGAAATAAGCGATAAAATTTACCGATAAACTCCCTTTGCTTGCGTGAGGTTTATTGTGAAATACATTGAAGAATATTGAAAATTTCAATACACTCCTGATCTCGAGAGGCTACCCAGAGCAAATGGTAGAAAAGACCCTCCGAGAAGTTAAATATAAAGACAGAAAAGAAGCTCTAAAACAGAAATCGAAAATTGCAGAAGGAACAGCTACCCTTTGTGTCGGGCAATTTCACTCAACCGTCAATACCAAACTTTGGAAAGGATAATCACGTAAAATGGCACTTTTAAAGACCAACACTCAGAGATATATTCAAGAAGCCACCCTTGATCTGTTATAGAAAAGGAAAATCACTGAAATATGTGCTTGTAAAAGCAAAACAAAGGCTTTGAGCAACATAGTAGCCACACAGCATGAGTCACGCGGACTCATTTGTCATTAAATCAACCCCAGACAGCACAATGATCACCAGCGGGCTTATTTCCAGTATTACTTGAATGACCGAGCTTTCAAATAAGCCAAAAGAAGCCTGTACACGACTTAAAAGGCTTTACTGGGTTATTTCCTCTCGATTTATACCTAATTAATTTTGTAATATTTTCAGACCATAACGCGATGTAAATTTCACAATAAACCTCACGCAAGCAACAGTGTTTATCGGTAGATTTTGTCACATATTATACGGTTATAAACGGGGTTGACCGTGCGAGACTTGGAGAAGGACTGTCGAAAGGGAGCCGGAAAAGGAAGGTTTAAGGACATGGGCAGCAGCAGCATTGGCTGCGGAGGACAGAACAGCCTGGAGGCAGAGAGCTTACGGCCCAATTCTCCACTTGGAGAACGGATAAATGATGATGATTATACGGTTATTCAAACAAAAACTTACATATTCCACATATCAACATTGCCCAAATCCATTCGCAATAAAAATGACAGCGAGAAAGCGTTGATCTCTCTCAAAAATCGTTTTCTTGTACCTCGAAACAACTTTTCGCCATATATTTCCTTCTAGCGACTAGCAATGTTTGCCCCCTGACGATCCCAGAGTTCTTCGCGCAAACACGGGTATCCGATTACTGGCAACTCATTCATTGGTCTCAATTTTGCGAGCAACTGCGCTGCATTTAACTGGGTTTTTTTGGTAACAAAGAAAAAGCTGAGAATTGCTGGGTTCTTTGCATCATTACCCTTTCTAATATATCTTTGTAATAAAAGACTAAAGCCATCAATACACTGCGTTCAAATATAGAGGAAAATAGCACAGATAGTGCAAGTGTTGAGTAAATAAAATGATCACTGGATCGCTCTATTGACTGTATAATTATTTGTTTTAGATGTGGCCCGCCTAGCTTAGCCCAGGCTACCTGCGGGTTCACGCTGTTGCTATTGTCAAGCTTTTCTTAACTTAATGTGTATATCTTTCTGTAAAATTGTAAATATGCGAGTCATAATAAAAGTTGTTGTTGTTGTTGTTGTTTTTCCAATCCTTGTGTGCACGCTGAATTGCATCGGCAAAAGCACGCACGAAAACTGTGTTTGGCCACCTTAACTCCGAGGTGATTAGCAAAGTACTATTCACCTGCAAGCAGAGATTTTGGAATTTCTGACCATTTATCAGTTTAAGTGAAATAAGTACCAGTATATATTTATTAAAACAATTATTCACCTTGGTGTCAGCTCAGTAAATATCCAGCACTGTTCACCTCCACTTCTGATCAGTAAATAATGGTTAATTAATGGGATAGAGAATTTGACATCATATGGGATAGCTGGCCAGAGGAGAATTTGAACGAGTTGCCTTAAAATCAAGGGACAACTCCTTTCTTTAGTAACATTGTGATTTGAAAAGGATGGCCGTCAAAGCCTTTGCGTGTGCTGCATGTATTTGATGGCAAATATATAGTTTTGCTCATGAAATTCTGTTTCCTTTTATGCCAAAAGGATGTGTTGGATTGGTGGGACATAGTGGAAGTTCATTGTGAACACCAAAAGATGTTAAAGAGCATCTGCGAAGGAGGCTACCAGTCCATCAGATTTGCATACTTTAACTCTGGCCACGAGAGAAGAGAACAATTTGAAATTGGCAACTCATTAATAATGTTTAAAATCTCTTTATTATAGGCTGATGAAGAATTAAAATGACCGATGGTTTTCCATTTTGATGGCAGATACAGATCAGCTCTTGAGTGTAAATTCTTGGAGCAAGTTGAAGAAGACTTAGCAGAATTTTGGAGTATTTGTGGAGACAATAGTGTTCTTGTGTTTCCTCCTCTGAGTGCTCATTATCGCTTCCTCATTCACGAGCTTGTAGGACAAAATTCCAAGCTTCAGACAGTGTCCGTAGGACAGGGACGGGAGAGAAGAACTGTTGTTTACTTTTCTCCTGAAAGGTACAGAAATGAACACACCTTGTATATCATAGCTGCAGTCAGATTCGGAAGTCTGTTGGTCCTATTATTAATAATTATTACCAATGGTTAAAGGAATATTAAATGGGAAAGTGATAGGTGACGCTAGACTAGGGTAATCTCACATTCGCCAAGTTTTCTTTATAATTTCTCAATTGTTTGTGCAAATACCAAAGTAAAGAAAAGAACAAAAGTTACAAGAAATGGCATGAATTCAGACTTGCAATGAAGTAGGGCATTATCAAGCTAAAAAGTCATTATAATAGTGGAGCTCCAGCGGCCCAAAGGGCTGCCAAGTGGAGCCCCATACTCATATAGGAAAGACAAGGAAACCCATGAGTTGATTTTCTCATGGTTATCATGGCTAGCGGTATTGCTCGTGGGCATGTACGCACAATGGCGATGACGATGACGACGAAGTCGCGCAACATGGCGGCCATACTCCAAATAATTGGTTGACAGAGACATGCAGCCTTGGTTTACTGTGTACTTCTTTGATATTGGACATCCATGTTATGGTCAATTGATATCTGTCAAAACAAAGTATCTGCTGACCAGTATCTCGTGACCATATCACGGGCTCAAGTTTACAGATTGCGTGTATTTTTTAAGTTGACTGCTGAACAAGTGCTGGTTTTCAATTGGATTGCGGGCTCATCCCAGGTTAACTTGTTGAAAACAGGGCAGGATTGTTCGGAAGCCAGTTAACACTAACCCAGGATTAAAAGTTAACCGAATTATAACTTTTTCTTCTATGCAAATGCTTTTTTGCTGCTTTGTTTTGTGTACATGGTGATTATTAAAACTCAAAACAGAAGGCCAAACAATATACAGAAAACCTCACTCACCTGTAAAGTTACAAAACTCAAATCAAAATTCTACCTTTTCCTGGGTTAGCTTAATCGGGCCCTGAGCAACCCGGCCTAGGAGCTACGCTTTTAGACTGGCCTAAATCTATATATTATTATTAATCTCAGACTAAATTTGGCTCATTTCAGAGATCCAGATAAGATGGCACATTCCCCTTCAACCTCACAAAAGACTTTTTTTGGAAGAGGAAGAGGCAGGTAATATATGTTAGGGTTGACAGCCAGACTGAATGAGCGGTTGCGAACGGAAAGTGCGTTGGCAAACTTCACTTAATGGCAGCGATAAGGCTAATATCTATAATGCTGCATAATAATAAATAGATGAAAGACATAAAGATCGTGTTCATGAAAAATAGGGACTTGTATATAAGCGTTCTCCAAAATTATATCAATTTTTGTGCTTTCCAAATAATTGTTGTTGTTGATCTGTTGAGAATGCAAAAGTCAGCTGAAATGTTTAATATATAAATAACACCAAAACAATTCCTCTAGAAGAGAATGCTAATCTTAATAAGCGATACATTGGTTGAAAGTTCATGTTAAGCTTGTCCACAGTGTTCTGTAACGCAGTTTTGGTTTGTATGTATTCAGGAAGACCTTTGATTCAGACCTTCTTGCAATCCGAAGGATGATATCATTGTTTCTAAGTCATTATCACCCTCTTAACCATTGGTCAAGTCTTCTTGATGCTTATTCCTTACTATTTTGATCCCTTTAAAGGTGTGTTTTGGTTCTAAGTACAGAATATTGCTGTCTAGAAGAAAACTATGACACATGACACCATCTTTAATTTCGATGTTTTGATCAAAAAACAAAACTTTCCCCTACCCCCTAAAATATGCAAAGGACCAAAACACAATAGGTACCAAAGAAATCTCTGGGGAGTGGGCAAGAGGCAATTTCTTAGTATTTTCAAGGGCCACTTGCCTCGCCTACCCTGCAAGGGAGTTCATATACGCCCCCAGCTACCCCTACATGAAGTTAACGGAGTTAACAATGAGAAGTTTAACAGGTTTGGTTGTGGTCTTTTAGTATGTCATCATATTGTGTCCAGCTGATGAAAATATTGACATCTGAGGGCCACGTTTTTGATCAGGAACTAGCATTTTGCTTACTTGAAGTATCTTTCCCAATTTTCTAACCTCAATAGTACTTCGCACTAAAAACCACTGGCCTGTTCTGGGCTCTTGTATATATTTGTGGGGAGCTTGGGAAAAATAAAAACATGAACAGGGGAAATCAACCAACTAGGTTAGGAATTGGGATGGGGTAGGATTGTGGTAGGAGGGGTGTGATTCTTTATATAGCCTGGCACCTGTTTCTTCTCTTGTTTATGTGTATTCAAAAACCTTGGAGGCTACACAGGCTAAGACCTAAGATTTGTTCATAATGTATTATTTTAACCATTTGATAATAATTATCAATTATTAAAATTCATATCTTCGTGCCACTGTGTTATATCCTCTATATAATTCCTTTTTACTGGAGACATTTCATAAAATAGATAGAACACAGAATGACTATCATCCCAGGATGGGGTGATAGTCCATAGCACGGTTACCCCAAGCATCAAGTTCTCTGGTACCCATTTATAAACCTGGATAGAGAGAGGCACTGTGAGAGTGAAGTGTCTTGCCCAAGAACACAACACAATGTCCCCGGCCAGGGGTCAAACCTGGACCACTCGATCCAGAGATGAGCGCACTAACCATGAGGCCACCGCTCCTCCCACACCAAGGGAGGTGCGGTGGGCTGATGGTTAGAGTGACAAATTTTGGATCAAGTGGTCTGGTTTGAGCTCTGCCCGGGTCATTGAGTTGTGTTCCGGGTCAAGAATTTTATACTCCTGCAGTGCTTTTCTGCACCCAAGGCAGCAAATGGAAATGAATAAACTTTAAGATCAACCTAACAAAACATTGGGGAGGGGGTTGTGCTGGGAGCAAGGGGGGGGNGGGGAAGATAGCCTATGGTAAAACAAGAGCGATGTTCATTAAATACTGAAGTTGCTTCATAGTTACTGTAATGAAATCAGTGAGAGTTATAAGCATAGATAGAAACCACAACTATTGATTAAGGCTCTTGTTTTTAATAATAAGTCCTCCAATTTATTGTTGTAGCAGACCAAGACGGCCTGACCAGGCACTGTATGTTCCAGGAGCATTGAGAAAAGCTAAGTGTGACCAGCTCAAGGAAAATGCAAGTAAAGAAAGTACTGTAAACAGTGCAGAAAACAAATCAGAAAACAGAGAAATTTCAAAGAGCCATAAAGACAGTAATAATGATGAGACCAGCACCTTATTTACTCCAAAAGATGGCCGCGATTCTATCAAACCTAAGAGTGCTGTGCATGAAGCCCAAACATATGAATCAGCTTGCCACAGTATACTTTCCACTTCTGAGAGAAAAGTTGATAGTAACACAGAGGGAACAGATAGTATCTTTTTTGATACAACTGTACAACATACAAATGGGCCATCACATCTGTTTATCGATGAGCAGTTATGGAGTGAAAACAAAGAGTCAAATAGGGAAAACATGATAGAAGATGACAGTGATCCAGTGGTAACAACATCTGAGAAACTAACTAGTAATGCTCTTGTCAAAGAATTTGATGAAATGCCACAGATCAGGGATGAAACAGATAAAAGCATTGAAAAAACTGTGCAGAAAATAACTGATGATCAAAGTTTATGCACCATTTCTAAAAAAGAATCTAGCTATGGTGAAACCGATCATAAGAAAGATGTACATGTAGATGTGAACTGTGGTATTTCTCAGACTCCATTGGTAACAACCAAAATAGGTGATTACAATGTGGATAAGAGTCTTTCAACATTTGAAGACAAAACTTGTGATTACGCGAAGGAAAAACCTTTGACAGAAAATGTAACTATACCCGGCAATCAAAATCAAGCTATGGTAAAATCTGAAACGAACTGTGGAAATGCCTCCATAGTGGTGGCCAGGACAGAAGAATCAAACTCACTTGGAACTGAAAATCAGTCTTTTCAAGATGATTCCGTGATAAAAACAATTGAAGATTCCGAAGCAGTAGTAGCTGATTGTGCAACAGTTGGTTTTGATGGTGAAGACAATGTTGAACAGGATGAAAGTCGGAATGGGAATGAGGAGACATTTCAAAGTGGTTGTGAGAACAAAGGAAGCAGTAGAGCTCTAACATTGCCTGGAAGTGGGGTTTTCATTCACGAAGAGGCACTAACACATGCTGTAAAACATTATGAAGAAGATGTTGCAACATGTGAATTGATTGGCAGTCAATCAAAATTGTTTAACGATGAAATCATTAAAGAGGCAGAATTGAGAACATCAAAAGAGGCTTCAATGGCTGTGTGCAAAAATGCTGTGAATTCTAAGAACAGCGCAGTGGTCACTAACGATGAAATCATTGAGGAGGCAGAATTGAGAACATCAAAAGAGGCTTCAATGGCTGTGTGTGAAAATGCTGTGAATTCTAAGAACAGCGCAGTGGTCACTTCAGATGTTGTTAATCTCACCTCTTCAATTGATTATGAGAATTTAGAATCTGAAAACAATAAGTCGGAAAGTAGGAATTCAATTGATTCAAACAATGAGAAAATTAAAACACTGCCTAAAACTATTGAGGATGCTTCAGGGTTAGTGAGAACAGAATTAAATGAAAATGTTGGTGAAGTTGAAACAGAGCAACAAAAAACATCTAAGAAGAAGAAAGGAAAGAAAACTAAAACTAAAGAACAGACAGAGGACAAGATAAAATCTAAAGAGAAGGGAGAAAAAAAGAGAAAAAAGGAAAAGAAAAGTTTGAAGGATAAAATTGACAAAGAAGTGAACTTAGACTCTGAAGAGGAGAAGAAATCAAAATCTAAAGTGCAATCAGCAAAGGAACAGGATAAGAAAGTTCCCAGTACATGTCATATAGTTACTGGGAAAAAATTGGTGGCAGACATTTTGTGTACGGGAGAATCTTTCAGCGCAAAAGACGACAATGATGATGATGATGATGATGACAACTGGGAATCAAATTTTGATGAGAGTGGAGATTGTCTAAATCCAGATTACTTTGAGGAGGTATGATTTTTGTATGTCTCTAAATTGAAATTTAGGTAAAAGAAGTGTAGTACTTTATTTTTAAATTAGTGTTTTTTCATGGCAAGTATTTTATTAGGTACTATGAATGGTATAGATCTCCAATATTATTACATTTACCCAATCGCAAAAAATGGTAATTGGATACCTGTACATGTAATTGGACACCCACATGATTGCCCACCAATTGTATGACAAATAGGCATGCAGAGAACAAATCATCGAAAATTTTGTGTATTTACTAAGATACAGTTGAAGATTAATAACAGCCCTACTGTGTTGTTGGAGAGAATATCGATACCCTCCCCATGGAAGACTTTTTGGTTTGAATTGCTCATCTGGAAATTTCAGTTTAGCTTCATATTTTGCTTAAGAGTCTTGGTTTTTGGACCCACATCCCCTCAGAATTTCCAATGACTTTCTATGAGGTGGGCTTGGATATTTTCTGGAATCACACAATGTTGTTTTTTGATGAACTTAGCAACCCTTTCTTGACCCTGACCCTAAACAACAAATTCCCAATTTACAGCCTTCTAACCTCCTTCCCCAACTATATCACCCTTCTGCCTCCCATTCCTCTTCTCCTGTTTTTGTGGGTAAAGAGCTACCCTCTGAGATTATTAAAAAAATATTGACTGAATTTCCTCAACCCACATTTAGCACTCCTTCTTGCATAATTTTAGCCACACAGAAGAAAGGGGGTGTGGGAGGGAGTTCTGGAGTGGAGATGATCCCTTCTTCTAGATTCACCACCCAAAGGAATTTAGTTACAGAATGAGAAAAAGTAACAGATTGTGAAAACTTGCATGATTGGAAGTTTTAGTTACAGGACTGGTGTACATTTGTTTCATTACTACAATACTATTGATAATAATTTCATAGTTGTCGTTAATCTTGTCCCAATAGCTCTCAAGGTTAACAGGAATAGCCAATCCTGAAGTTCACAAGACTCAGTTTGACTACTACTCTTTCAAGCCAAGGCAAATTGAATTGGATGATGAAGGTTTGTCTTTGAATATGAGTGTTACTACACCTATTACCGTAGTATACTAATTCAGATGCTGCAATCTGATTGCCTGAGCTATAAATTACACTTGGTCTTCTCTGTGCAATAACCAGAGATTGCCTCTTGAGTGGTAATGTTTTGGGGGAATTCTCATTTCTTTAAAGTTTTGGAGGAGGATTTGATAAATATTTACAGATAAAATTATAAATTTCCCAAGAACAATTATTAAGGAAAGGCATAATTTACGATTATATCAATTTTGAAACCTCAACACCGTTGAATGAACACAGATGTCAGTTTCAAGTAACAATTCACATTTTGCACTATTGCACTGAAGCATGAAGTTTATGGTTGCTCACAACAGTTTCCAGCATGTTGCAACAATTCAAACTACTTTCAATTGATGGTCTGTAACACTGCCACTCCTTTTCAGTTGATGCTTTTTTCCTTAATCTAGCTTAGAGGGCTTATATAACTCACAAACAATCTGTTTGGGCATTTTCTTTGATACCATCATTGACCATGTAGACTGAAATGACCCATAAAAGACAAAGTGCTGAAAAATGCTGGAAACCATTATCAGTCTTATACTAAATTAAATGCGTTAGAGAAATTATTAGTGTACTTTGAAATCATTGTTTGAAGCAAATTGGACCTTTGGCCTCATTTACTATCACTGCAAAATCTTGAACTCATTATGCAATATTTCTTAATTATTTATTTTTAATGTCCACTATTTTGCAACCTCATTTCCAGGATCTCTCTCCTCTGCTTTCCTTGTTCTTGGGAGAAAGACCCTGGTTGTGGCTGGTCACATGACCACCTGTGACACAAACTTTTCCTCCAGGGTAGAGTCAACAAATAACTTTTGTCTATCTCAACTAAAGCAAAAGAAAGGCAATTGCTGATCATTGCTAAATTAACCACACATGGGCAAATAAACCTTTGAAATTCTCCAGTCCTATTTTAAGCTTCACTAAGGTCAAATGAAATAATTACATTTTTTACAACCATCATATTGAAGTATCACTCTGATTTCAATTCCAGCCGGTCAAATTACTAAGAGGTAAAACTGTTTTGCTGTTTCATGTTGTCTGAATTAACTCACAGAACATTGTTCGCTATATAAAGTGGTGTTTTGTTTACCATTTTGCAAAATATCATTCTTGACTATGCCAAGGAACCATGTTTAAACATCTGTCTGAATATATACTTCCAAAAACCTGATGCAGATGAAATTTAAGAGCAAGCTTATGTCAACAAAACTGTAAATCATTTTACATTGCTGTAAATCAAATGCAAGTCAGAATACTCGGCTTATCAGTTGTGTGACGGAAATACTTTTTAACATCAAAAATACTGTACAAAGAAGAAAATAAATTACCTCCGAATTCAGAGATTCAAGAGACTAATCCACTGGTTTCACTTCGATTCGGTTAGTGCCATTTTACACGTGCTAACCGTCGAACAATTTGTGCTTCATTAGGCTGCCGAATTTCTTTGTGAATGAAAGTCTTCTATATTTTGGAGATGGCAGCAATAATGTAGCACTCTTCATCGCCAAAATTTGACTTTGAATCCTGATAAAGCGGGTAGTTTTTAGCGACTGCTCGAGGTTTTGAAACCCACAAAGTTTGTCACACCAACAATCAAAACACTCTGCCACCCCTCCCATCCAACAGATTTTTTTTACTACCCAGATTCTGGGTGGTCATGTGACCAGCTGCAACCAGGGTCTTTCTCCCAATGAACAAGTCAGGCAGAGGAGAGAGAGCTTGGGAATGAGGTTCATTTTAGTGTACCCTTGTTTGTATTCTTGACACTGACTTACACTGTACATCATTACTCCATAGAGTTTGGACATATATTAGAAATCTACAACTTTTCTTCAGACTTAACAACACAAGACTTGATGCAGGCTCTAAGTTCCTTCAGGTAATCAATGTATAACCTGTGTTCAGACACCAATTCAGATTCCACTAATTCAGATTCCACCATTTCAGATTTGTTTCATGTGGCAAAGTCATGCAGGCTATCAATGTACAGCTTACAGTAGTTTTCAATTGAGTGCCATAAAACCAAAGCTAAATGAGTGATCACTCTCACTGACCAATTGACCACAAATAACATACTCAAACGATCCAGGAATAAAAACCAATCCAGTACCCCTAAGAGATACCAAGATCCTGCTTTGTAGGCATGGCTTGAAATCATTTTCACCCCTAAGAGGTGCCAATTCGAAAACTACACATTATCTCCTGACATACTTTTTCTGTGCAGTGCTCTAAAAGGTAACCGCAAAAGCTCCCACTGTTGACCTTTTGAGGCCAGATACCCTAAGAGGTAACAAAACCACTCTTTGACCCCTAAAAGGTATGACAAGTTCCTACGGGATATGTATCTAACCTTAAAGTGTATATGACTCAATTTTGTTTTCCGCTGATTCTGGTCTTTAATAATATTAGAAAAACGGTTGTAAAGTTTTAGATCGTGAGAATATTTTGAAACCCCATTTTTCGTTCAAAAGACGCGTTACTTTCATGTTGAAATTGTCCCAGAGATCGCGCAGCCAAAATGTCACATGGTTTACGTCTGTGACGTCACTGTGTTTGATAAACAAAACAATATGGCTGAAAGTGAAGGGAAATGGAGCAGGTCGAAAATTAGCGTTACTAGCTAGCAAATCACTTGCACATTTGAAGCCATGTGCAAGAGAGATGACAAGGTGGCTTCCCGCGACAGCAACGTTATCATGATGTCACAAACACAATTCTCATCCCCAGTTTCCCGGGACACTTTTATAGGGAAGTTGGCTGTATTTTGGCTGCAAAAAAATCATCCAAATTGTTCACAAGAAACATTTTATTGACCGAAAACCGAAAACTGAATAGAGAGAGAGCAAAAATCTTTTTATACCCGAACGTAATAAGCCTAAATTTACATAAATATTAAACAAAGAAGCGTGAAACCGAAACTATGCTAGAATAGAAAAACAAAAAA